AAAACGAGTAATATATTTTTTGTGAGATATATTAGAAATGAAAAGGTTTATCCTAAAATCGGACATTATTTTCCGATCAAAGTAACATGTAATCGATCTGTCTATTCTCGATAAACTCTGTTACAACAAGAAAAGAAGATGGATTTACAACCGGCGCAACTTTTTCCAACGTGGTGGCCGTTTTATTAAAGTAGATCTCATTGGATGAGTTCAACCATTTGTTTTGTCTGATAGGGAATCGATTAATGTATTTCGTTTTCGATTGTACAAGATTGATTCTTTTTTATAATTTCGTTCTTTTTAACAAAACTTGAAAGCAAAACGACCAACTAAAATATTGCAGTATACTTGTTCAGTGGTCAAGAATTTGGGAAAAGGACGAGTTATAAAAATGGCGGATCATACTAAGCCAAAATGGCGACAACATTTAATATTATTCTGCCTTAGCTTTATTTTTAGTCTATAAACAGTAATGACATTATTCGTGTAGGAAGATAACGATTGGTTATTTATATTCTCATTGTTCATATTATTTTAATTTTATGTGTTTTAATTGTTTGTTTTTTGTTTTGTTTTGTGTGTGTGTGCGCGCGCGCGCGCGCGTGTGTGTGTGTGTGTGTGTGTGCGAGAGAGGAGAAATGTTTCTACTGAGCTGTTAGCGATTACATTAAGTTAGTATTAGGCTTACCATACGTCTCGTTTTGTTTGGGGCTATTCTGATTTGAAGGATCTATCCAGAAGATATAAGCAGTCAGTGTTCGTTTGTTCGTGTGTGCGCACGCACGCGCATGCGTGTCAGCCTTGATGTATAAGAGGTGTTGAATCATAAAAACAATTTATTATGTGAGAAAATCAAACCTATAATATAAACTGAAAGTTCTGCCGACTTAAGGTTTGGGAAACATGTTACATTTTCAGTGTGCCATTCCGATGTATCAGTGAGATGGAAGAATATTTTGGAGAGCGTAAACCACAACTCTCTATGTGTTCGAATCTTTTTTTTTTCAGATATTTTTGTGACGATTTCTTAAATACAAAATATTATACTAGAGGGTGCAATGCAATGGAGCGTTAATTTCTACTTTGGTAGACAGTCTATTTTTTTTTCACCCGTAAAATGCTTATGTGCAACAGTTATATAATGCAGTACACATAGCGATTTAGTAAGCGTAGCTTAGAGATGACAGAAGGTTGAAAGCATGGAGCACCCAATAAGGATCGAATTCACTACTCAGTCGTAATTGATCTCGCGAGACAAGCTTGTTAACCATTACACCACGTCAAAGATGCATTGCACATATATTTACAAAAATGAATCCATCTGGCACTATGCCATACATTATTTACACTATTTACATTTGGACTACTGTCCTCATCTTTGTTGTTATTGCAACGTTTCGCCCATCAGGTGTATAGCAATCCGGATAACTAATAGGGTATTCTGAACTGAACTCTTTCTTTAATCTACGGGGGTAGAATGTTCACATTTAATTGCCTGTGTCTCGGGATATCTCATACTTATTTAGTAGTATTGATCAGTTTTTTGCTCGAACTCATTACTCATAATGAGGCCAAGTACACACTGCCCGATCGAGGGATCGAACTCACAATTACTATGTCCCCAATTTTCGAATCTACGCCTTAACCTGCTAAGCTATTGTCCTGTATTGTGTCTGTGGAGAACTTGGAACCTTAATCCTTCCAATCATTTTATGAGTCGACATGCACTCATTTCATTCAGAAAACAATGGAGTCATTTTGAAACTGTTTATTCAAGAAACTTTCGCAAAATAGCGAACTTCCTCTTTTGTCTTTTCTCATCCCCTTCTCTCACACATACAAAAAGTAGAAAATTATACAGATACCTATAGACGTACGGGAGGGAATTTTATAGGCGGTTTGGGGGTCAGAAAGAATTTGTCCTGAAAATGTTCTAAGTTGCCGTGAAAATAACCAGCTTTTGCATTGAAAATATACAATGTCGCCACCCCGAGACCCACTGTCTCGTACGCCTATATAGATACCTTCGCTTCCTACATACCTAAATTTGTTCTATAATGTCTCAAAAGGAAACGGGGATAAATAACGTTCGCCTAAAATTAGAAGTGTCGATTTCTTTTTTTGCCATTTTCTGTTAGAGATGCAAAATAAAGTCATACATTCCTATCATTTTTTGTTTATTTTTATCTGATTTATTTAAGAATTCTGGCAGAAAAGTAACATATAACAAAAAGAAATAAATAAAACAATATCATCCACACTCCAGACAAAAAATGTTTCCATTATCAGGAAAATAAAAAAAAAATTAAAAAAATAGGCGCAAAGAGAAGTGGTTGGTTTAAAATTAGACGGAAAATGCCGGAGGAACCCGAAAGGTTTTCACGAAATTTTCCGAAAGGTTACGTTTGCTATATAGCAACGTAACTCGAAAGTTTTCGATTATTTCCCATTCCAGTTCAACTTTTTAGCGGGTAATTTCCTAAAACTCTATAGTCGTCGTTTGCTACTCACTCTTGCAGAGTATGAAAAGTTTCGTTTTTTAAACGTATACTTAATTTCTATTTAATTGCATTTTTAACTGTTAAAATAGCCTACAAAAATGCGTTAATTCATACATAGACAACACACACGCATACATAAAGAGGCGATAAAAAGAGAAGAAAGGAGAGCGAGAAAGAGAGAGAGAGAAGAAAAAGATGACAGTAGTACAGGAAACAAAGTAACATCTATTTTTATATAATGTTTTTTTAATGTTTTCAGTTTGTCTCTCTCATATTGCATACACACAAACATAACTCTAACGAACAAACGAATACATATACTCAACAGAAAGTAACTTACCATACATTTTGAACGACTGTCTGTGCGAATGTCATTTTGTACACATATGTGACTGCGAACAAAATGACATATAATACACAGATCTCTAGATCTATATAATAGACTATATATAGATCTATGCTGGCATGACCTCTCCAATCTGTTGTTTTCTCTTTAACACTTCACTCTCTCTATATAGATATATTCCTCTCTTTCTTTTATGTATCAGCGAGATAGATAGATGAACAGACCGAAATAGATAGATAGATATGAACAGACCGAAATAGATAGATAGATAGATAGATAGATAGATAGATAGATAGAAAGAAAATGTGTGTTTTCCTATCAGTTGGGTACCCATAATCTTGAATAGTCAGTCAAGCTACAAGCTAGTTAATAATGACGATGAATGACTCACAGACTGAGCAGGTAATGAAGAGTGGGTATAGGCAGGGGGCGAGCTTTATGGCGGGAAATAGCTGTAAGTTGTGTAAAGTGGCGCGCATTTGACTCAACTTTCATTTGGGCGTGGTGACACTTAAGGCTTTACGTATGCAGGTTCCTGTTACACGCGCTCCTGCAAATATGAAAGTCGGATTTTTATTTAAAATGTCGTATACCTTCAGGACGTAGGATATCATTACTCCCCACAGATTCCCTTTCTTTATTATCTAGGAATTATGCATTCTTGGGAAATACAGCGGAGTGGATTCCCTTCCCCGATTTCGAATTCTGAGTTTTCCTTCTCTTAGTCTGACTGCCATCCAAAGCTAGAGGGACAAGTCTACTGTGCTATTTAACCCATAGATGTGAGGGAATGGAGAAGAAACGGGTTTATGCCGTTCCCAAGGGTATTTGTGGGAAAGTAAGTGCAGGAGGTTAGGCTGGAATTTGAACTCGACTAGACGACTGAACTTTTCCCTGACGATATCTGTTACACGACTTGGATCATAACAGGCAGAATTCTTCTTTGTTTATGTGCAGTGTCCCTTCAGGACGTGGTCGATTATGGCTCTCCACCACTTTCGTCTGGTAGTTGACCCGCTGCCTTTCACTATCCCTCGATATGCTCTGTGAGTTTTCCAAGCACTTTTTCCTTATTATGTGTCACCTTTCACCTTTCTCTTTCTGAGTATATTTTCTTTTTGTTATCGGAAAGAGAAAAAAAATGATTCATATGTGTATACATCTGAGGAAAAAAAAGTAAGACTAACGTATTTTTAATGAAAAGAACAGTTTTTCTTGTTTTATTTTTTCTGTTTATTTATTTATTTATTTTTACACAATGTTGCACAAAGAAGAAAGAATTTTATTTTCTGAAGGTTTTATGTGAGATTAAAAGTATAATCTAAATATTTGGGGATTCAACATTCAAAGCGTCGCATTTTCTACAAGTGAATTACAGAAATTTCCAAAACGAGGCAGCGAGTTTATGTGTGTGAGCCATAATGGGTAAGAATAGAATTGCGTGTAATATGTTAAACAGTCAGATAATGTCAAACTTTCATTATCCAGGAAAATGGAATCGAATTTCGACTGAAGCAGCCGATACTCAGTGAATGCCACATGCTTTGTCTTAATACCAGAAATGTCTCGTCTCTTGCATGCCACAACGGAGAAGAGAGGGTAAATGAGAACTCACTTTGGCAAGCCGCTCCTACATGAACCTAACCAACCAAGCAGTATATGTGTTGAGCTTATAGACTTTCATGTGCAGTATAGGTCCATAGTTTCACTTTTACCAGATGCTGCTGCTGTGGCTTTTATATCAAGTAGTTTTTTACTTACGGGGTAGAGTTACCAGGCCACGGCTAACCGGTTTGGTAGATTCAGAGTTTTCCTTCTCATAGACTGGTTACCAACCACATCTAGAGAGCTCAATCTGTTCCACTGGCTGAGAATGGAAACGAGAAGACATGGATTCATAACTTTCCAAGAATATTTGTATGAAAGTGAATGCAACGACTTCACCAATTCCACTTTCCGCGTCGATACCCGTTGTACTATGCGCGTATACAAGCAGGCAGTAGTAACAATGAAAATATATTACAGGATCTAGATAAAGGCAGGCAGATATTAGTAGATATTTATTTATAACATGTTGTTGCTAGAGATTTTAGAAGTACTCAAGAGTACTAACTGAAAAGGGAGATGTTTAATTTACAGTGATGACTTGAAAATCAGGCATTTAAGCGGATGGATTTTACAGTGGCATGAACACTGTCGTCAGTGTGAAATACACAAGTACAGCTACGAAGAAGATTAATTTTTAGATAGATAGATAGATAGATGAATAGATAGATAGATAGATATGAACAGGATGAGATAGATGTGAACAGAATGAGATAGATATATAAATAGGTAGATATTAACAGAATAAGATATAGATAGATAGATAGATAGATAGATAGATAGATAGATAGATAATGAACAGAATGAGATGGATATATAAATAGGTAGATATTAACAAAATGAGATAGATAGATATTAACAGAATGAGATAGATAGATAGATAGATAGATAGATAGATAGATAGATAGATAGATATGAACAGAATGAGATAGATATATAAATAGGTAGATATTAACAGAATAAGATATATATATATATATAATGAACAGAATGAGATAGATATATAAATAGGTAGATATTAACAAAATTAGATAGATAGATAGATAGATATATAGATAGATATGAACAGAATGAGATAGATATATAAATAGGTAGATATTAACAGAATAAGATAGATAGATAGATAGATAGATAGATAGATAGATAGATAGATAGATATTAACAGAATGAGATAGATAGAGAGAGATATTAACAGAATGAGATAACAGAATGAGATAGATAGATAGATAGATAGATAGATAGATAGATAGATAGATTTTTAGAGTATGAGAGATGGGGGTGAGAAAAGACAAGCTGTGGTGTGCAGAGTGAGAAGGGCCGAGGGTTTAAAGATGTTCAAAGAAGAAACGAAGCGTGTGCTTGAGAGATAAACTTACAATAAACAAACGACTTTCCACTAAGAGAAACTAAATATCTGAACATGATAGAGAGGCTCTGATGTGTGTGTGTGTGTGTGTGTGTGTGTGTGTGTGTGTGCTGAGGGGTGGGGACAACGCCCAAAAGAGAAAGAAAATGTGTGTAGTGTAGAGACAGAGAAGAAAAAGGTAAAAGAAGAAGAGAAGAGTTAATGAAAACACGAGAGATGTCATGAATGTATGCGAGAGTAAGAGCGATGAATTGTGAAAGAGTGGGAGAGACGGGAAGTATCCGTACCAGACAGAAACAAGTTTAAGGCGGGGGCTGAAAGCGGGAATATATAAATGATGAAATGTTCATCGGAAAAGAATGTGTTTCATGCCAAAAGGAATTACAAACCTTACGCCAGTGTATGTCTTGAAAACAAAATGTTTTTCCTTTATTCCGTTACCTTAAGTTGACAGTTTATATATCTGAGTTGGTAAAAATTTGGCTATGAAAAAATGAATATTTACTATCTGAACCCATAGAAGTTTCACGGTTGAAAGGTTTTGGCACTTGACATATTGTCTTTTTCCATTTTAAAAGAGATAAATTGTAAGTATTGATTAATTAGCTATACCTGCATATCCTGTTAAAATAATTTTTCAAATAGGTTTTACAGGTAATTCTAAAAAATAAAAAATATAAAAAGCAATACAAAAAGTTTAAAATGCATTTTAAAAATGAAATATTATTCTTAAAGTTTTAATTTTAGTTTTAATTCCAAGCCAATAAATTAAATTCCAAATTGCCAATAAGCAAAATATTTTAGTGTATTTCAAACCGAATTTAAATTGAGTGGAAGCTTTATTTCTTTTTCTCCTTATCAGTAAATCAACGAATTCGTCCATATCGAAAGACCTGCCAATACAGCATAACTCTCTTTTCTTTTTTTTTAATCTTTCAAAATTAAAATATACTTTACTTAAACATTATTTGAGCAAAATTATCTGATTTAAAGTTTAATTAATCTAAATTGAAACTCTAACTCTTAGTTTAAAATATCGCCGAAAAGTTTGTTTTTTTTTTTTTTTTGAACGGAAGAGTTTTTCTAACGCCTTACTTTAATAATTTATTAAAAGCCTGTTGTTTGGGAAATTTATGTAAGGGAGACATAATTGAAAAATTACTTGAATGCAACGTGGACGCCTTTTTATATATATATATTTTTTTAACTACCCAGTAATCTTAAAAATGAAGAAAATATTTTAAGCGATTTAGTTTTTTATTGAATTTTGGTACTTTGTCTTTATAGCGAGGACGCTTGTAGAAAAAATTTGATAAATGACCAATAAATTTTTAGTTTATTATAGATACCTCAATTTTTTCTGATAATGTAGTACATGCATGTCTCTATTTATAAAAATTGTCACGTTTATACACATATAAAAAATTCAAAATTCTTTTTAAAATACTGGGGCTCGTTGAATTGTAGTAAACTTTCCTATTTATGATTAGTAAATACAGTTTTTTATTTAATAACAATATCACTCAGAAGCTACAAATTAATGCATAATATTAAAATATTTAAAAATTTATAAATTACGCCATTAAAATTTTAAAAGAAAATGAAATAAATTTTTGTAAAAATTCATTATTCATTTTCTTAAGACGATAGTGTCCATGATATAATTTATTCATAAAAGCATTAGAGGTTTTGCTAATTAACAAATATATTAGTTTTATTCTATTTTGTAATTTACGCTTCAATTCATTTTATTCCCTATAAAAAATAAACATTACGCAATAAAAAAACAAAAAAAAAGAAATTAAGTAAGTTGGGCGTAACAGATGATGTAAAAAAAAAAAAGAAATTAAGTAAGTTGGGCGTAAGAGATGTAAAAAAAAAGAAATTAAGTAAGTTGGGCGTAACAGATGCAAAAAAAAAGAAATTAAGTAAGTTGGGCGTAACAGATGTAAAAAAAAGAAATTAAGTAAATTGGGCGTAACAGATGTAAAAAAAAAATTAAGTAAGTTGGGCGTAACAGATGTAAAAAAAAAAATTAAATTAAAAATAAGTTGGGCGTAACACATGTAAAAAAAAAAATTAAATAAGTTGGGCGTAACAGATGTAAAAAAAAAATTAAATTAAGTAAATTGGGCGTAACAGATGTAAAAAAAAAATTAAGTAAGTTGGGCGTAACAGATGTAAAAAAAAGAAAGAAATTAAGTAAGTTGGGTGTAGCAGATCTAAAAAAAAAAAAAGAAATTAAGTAAATTGGGCGTAACAGATGTAAAAAAAAAGAAATTAAGTAAGTTGGGCGTAACAGATGTAAAAAGAAAAAAAAATTAAGTAAATTGGGCGTAACAGATGTAAAAAAAAAAGAAATTAAGTAAGTTGGGCGTAACAGATGTAAAAAAAAAAAAATTAAGTAAGTTGGGCGTAACAGATGTAAAAAAAAAGTAATTAAGTAAGTTGGGCGTAACAGATGTAAAAAAAAGAAATTAAGTAAGTTGGGCGTAACAGATTTAAAAAAAAAAAGAAATTAAGTAAGTTGGGCGTAACAGATGTAAGAAAAAAAAGAAATTAAGTAAGTTGGGCGTAACAGATCTAAAAAAAAAAGATATTAAGTAAGTTGGGCGTAACAGATGTAAAAAAAAATGAATTAAGTAAGTTGGGCGTAACAGATGTAAAAAAAAGAAGACATAATTTTTACAAAGATTTTCTAAAAAAAGAAACCTTTATAAAATAATTTCATTCATTACTGGATAAGACTTAAAAATCTCATTAAAATCCGATAATTATGTGTTTTTACAAGAATTTCCGAATAAAAAACGGCTCCCGCGTTCAAAAAAAAAAACAAAAAAAAAAAACGATTTTTAACTAAGGTTTGCAAGGTTCTAAAAAGGACAAAAAATCAATTAATAATAGCACTTTGACGATAACATTTTGTTTTTATTATGTTTTGGGCATTTCTTTCAACATCTATCCTCTGTTTTAGCAAATTTTGGGTGGTACCTAGTTTTATGACATTTATTTCGTTTAATCATGTCGAGCAGAACCCGTGAAAATACCACGTTTTTTCCCTTAATTTCCATTACTGAAACTAATCATTTCGCCCTGGCATATTTCATATTACAATACGATTTCACTGAAGCAGACGTTAAACGAACCAGAGTGTTATAGCTTCCTCTGTCTTCTCTTTCTTTCTTTTTTCTTTCTTTCTTTCTTTCTTTCTTTCTAGAAACGCATATAATAATAATAATAATAATAATAATAATAATAATGTCTACTTGGGATCCAAAGGCTTATAAATGAAGATTTTACTGTTGTTGATAATAATAGCAATAGTCAAAAAATATAGTAGGATGAGGCCTGGCCCCCTGAACGAGATGGCCCATCATGGTATGGATATGCTATGGCGCAAACGAACCAACCCCAACGTACTAACTGTAATGCTGACACAATGAAAAATATTGCTAACCCACATCGGTCGTCACGCGGGTCAACAAATAATCCCTAGTGGGGAACCGGACTGAGATCGAAAAGTTTGCAAATGGAACAAACTCTGCCCAACGAGAACTAGAGGAAAACCACGCCGAGGACAGTCCTCACAGAGGCTCTCTATATTCATTAAAATAAAATACCACAAAAAGAATAAATAAATAAATGGTCAAGGAAAGTGTATATTGAAGTAATGATAGCATTTTACACTGCTACGATAAATCCAACAAACGACAACAATGACCAAAGTCGCCTATAAAATCTGTCGAGAAAAACATCCCTCAAACAGACTAAGCATTGATGCCAACGAACTAGTCAATATCAGGCGTAACATCATAAGAAAAAAAGAATACCTGACATAGAACTCGAAAACATCCGAGAAATCATCAAAAATAGATTCAATGTTAACATCGAGGGGATAAATGTGAACAATCCAGAGACATATGCAGAGGAACAAATAGAAAATTGTAATAATCCCTCTGAGGTACACCAGCAAATAGAGGAAGATAATGACTAATACGAGAGAGAAATAGTGATGACGAAAACATCCGATATAAATGAGAGAATGCAAAGGAAATGTCTTTTGAAGAAAGACCAACAATTCCAAAAGTAAGAAAGAACCGTCAAGTGAAGGAAACCATCAACCTCGTTAACCAAGCAATTATAAAAATAAGAGACGAAATGGAAAGATCGATGAAACTGACAGAAATTAATCATCTTATATACGCAGCCTTGGCACCGATCACAGAAAAAATAGGTGAAAAAGTAAAAACACAAGGTAAACGAAAAAGAAAAATGCCAGTCTGGAAAGAAAAAATAGTAACCAAAATAAATAAACTAGGAGGACAATTGTCACTTCTAAGTGAATTAGACAAATGCTGTAAAATGAAAGAAAGAAAAAGGACACAACTGAAACGAAGCCTTGATATAAAAAGTAAAACTGATGTACCAAAAGTTAAAGTGAAGCTGAAACAACAAATTCAAGCGAAGGCAGAGAGAATCAGGCGTTATGAAAAAAAAAGAAACAGATTTTTCTGGCAAAACAAGATCTTTAAAGAAGTTGCCAAGAAAAAGAAAATATATTGAGAACTAGGAAAAAATAGAGATAAATTACCCACTTAATATCCAGGAAGTCGAGGAGTTCTGGTGTAAGATGTGGGAAAACTGCAAAATGAGCTACATGGATCAAGTAACAACAGGAGTAACACACACATGTAAAATGCCAAAAATGGACGGATATCAATATTACTGAAACAATCGCTGCCATCTTCAAAATCAAAAACTAGAAAGCATCATGAATAGATCTAAATAAAAAAAAACTATTTAGCTCCCATCAAGACCTCGCACGGCCATACAATGATATAATCATGAACTCAGAAAAATGCCCCAAATGGCTTACGTGGAGAGTAATATACCTCCTCCCAAAAACAGAAGAGACGCAGAACCCGAAAAACTATAGGCTCATCACCTGCCTACCAACAATGTACAAGATCCTCACTAATATCATAACTAAAAGGACATACAACTTCCTTGAGGAAAACAATTTCCTCCAAACAGAACAGAAGAAATGTAGAAGAGGAAGCTACTGATGCAAGAACCAACTATTTATCAATAAAACAATATTGGAAAAGGTGAAAACAAAGAAAAGAAACTTATCGATAGCATGGATCGACTACAGAAAGGCGTTCGACAGTATACCACACTCATGGATAGAGAAGAGCCTAAAAAATATACAGAGTATGACCCACAACGTCCAAATTCATAATGGAGAGCATAAAAACTGGAAGACCACACTAAATATAAACCATACAAACGGGTCATTAACATCGAGACCAAGCAACTTCAAAAGCGGATCTTCCAAAGAGATTCATTGTCACCACTACTCTTCCTCCTTGCATTAGTGCCACTCAGCTGCCTACTGAACAACAGTAGCTACGGATTCATGTCACAGAATGGTAAATTGAATCACATTCTATACTGATGCCTTAAAACGTTGTCAAAAATGAGAACCAGCAGAAAAACTTACCATTGTAAAAACCTTCAGCGACGACATTAGGATGGAATTCGGAATCGACAAATCTGCCAAAGCTACCTTTAAAGGCGGTATAAGATGATATATAGAAATACTTAAGAAGACTTTTGATCAGAAGTCATAATTATTCTTAGTCTTTTTCTTTGATAGCGTTATGTATGCTATGTCCATCAAGAGTGAGCTGAACTTTCGGACTTTTGACTGTCTAGATCAGGGTCGTCAAATGGGGTCCGAGCAACCCACTAGGGAGCGTTCAGGGGTTCCAAGGGGTCGATTATAATCAAGGGGTTGAATGGGGTGGTCGGTGAGCGGATGACACTGAGCTAAGTTTTATTTAGTGTACATGTATGTTATATCCTTCGGTGCAGATGAATAAAAGCTTAAACCATCTTGTTTGCATGCAATAACTTATTAATTGGATATTAGTAACGGTTATTCATTTCTGTTCAACAGCATCGGCTGTATTTATGCTTGGTGGACTTAATAAATTATTTACCTAATTCATTGGTGTTATTTAATATATTTTCTTAAATATATTTGGGGGTGGGAAGATTCCCAATCTGATCCAAATTTCTTAACTTTTCATACATTTAGTTAACATTTTAATTGCTAACACCAGTGTGAGTTTTAAGGTTCAAATATATTTTAAATGGGGGGGGGGCTCGAGAAGGAAGAGAAACAAAAACGGGTCGAAAAAAATTGACGATCACTGGTCAAGGTTAAATATCAAAAGCCATTTCATTTTTTTATTCAGTGTGTGGTCAGCAGTGTATCCTGGAATATATATGCCGGGTTAAGCAAATAATGTTACAATGTTAGACAAAAATTAAGAAATTTGTTAATTTAACATATAAATAAAAGTAGTAATATAAAAAATTAACCTACAAATTTTAACACAGATCAGTTGTATTCAATTTTGCTTACGAACAAAATGATCAGTAATTTTGTTGCAAAATCCGGCTTTCACCGAATTAGCAACTGTTGGACACTATGCGTACTGCTTGATTTTAGTCTTTTCCCAAATTTATCCTATATTTCGTCTGGAAGTATTACATTTTTTTTGTGGAAAGTGATTAACATAAAATTAATTTTGCGTATTAGAGGTGCAAACTTTCTAAGGCGAGTGTTTGCTTACAAGTTTCAAGTGTTTATTACAAAAGATATCAATTCACTGAGTTTCCCTAAAGTGAGTGATGCATGATACAATTGAAATATATAATAAATTAAACTTGTTAAATAATGATATTTTAATTTTTGTCCGGAATACGGCTTGAAGCACTCGGATGTCTAACCACACTGATGAGCTGTAATACAGCGAAACAGGCTTGTATGTGAATGAATATTTATGCTCTCGTTAGCCGATTGAGCACTATAGTGAAAGCGTAATTTTAAAAACAGTGGCTGCTCCTACTCTTAACGCATCGCTCTTCAGTTTTGAATTGCGTTTGTATATATCACGTTAAAATACGTTAAATTTTTTCCTTTCTCTACCCTGCGCCGATAGCTTAGGGGTAGAATCTCTGACTGATGCCAAATCGGTCTAGTTTTGATTCTGGTAATCAGATGTCTAGAAACACTGATGAGCTGTGGTGCAGCGAAACAGAATTGTATGAGGATGACTATATATATATATATATATATATATATATATATATATATATATATATATATATATAATGTGGTATCCATTTTGAGATACCTTAAATCTGCGCCCAAAGAGTTATGCCTCATTTGCTGATGGTGGTGCAGCTCACAAGGGAGTGACGGTCTTGCTTGCAACGAATGCATGTTAAGACGCTCTCCCCTGATATAGCCTTTTCGGCGGCAAACCCTGTTTCTCTTCTCATCGCTCCAGCTCTCGGTGTAAATTGTGTCTCCAGTGTGGGCGATAGTTAGCGACGTCTTCCCACTTCTCGATGGCCATCGCCCTCGTGTCCCCTTCTGCAGACGTCCTTGAAGTCATGTCCCTTTGTGCTCTCTGGCCGGTGGCCAGTTCCCCGTACAGAAGGACATAAAATCCTCCCATCCGGCATACGGTGTATATGTATATGTGTGTATATGCGTGAGAAAAAGCAGGGTGGAGAAGAGAGAATGAGGGAAAGAAAGAGAGAGAGAGAGAGAGAGGGAGAGAGAGAGAAGTAGACAGAGACTGGGTCTACAAAAGGAAAAGAGAAAAAAGATTTTAATTAGCAAATAAATCAAAAAATGAGGTCAGCGTAGTCTACAAGAGTGGATGGATCTCTTTCTTCAAGACGCAGACGAGCATGGTCCTCCACAGCTTCGTGTTTTTTGTTAATCTCAGAAATCTCTCTTTCTCTTTGTGCTCATTTTTCTGCCATCCATTTGTACAAACTTATCAAGTTACACGCTGTTTTCCTCTGCTTCTCTTGCTTTTGGTGTGCCCTGTGAGTGCTAAATTCTCTTAGCCTTCTTTCCTTATTATGTATACCCAAAATTTCATCTGTCTCTGATTTTATCAGCAGTTTCTTTATCATTCCTATTCTCCGAAAAACCTCATTGCTCTGTCCATTATATTACCCAACGTTTTTGAGAACATCTTGATTGACTCAATTTATGACAATCTCGATTGTGACAATAATCTGTGACATCCCCATTGCCTCAAATTGTGACAAAATTTTTCAGCTTTCACAGCTATTATAGAAAGGTAGACATTACATTGCAGTTCCGCATTCGTTTTTTACTCTTCTTTTTCTCTCTTTCTAACATCGTTTTTTTTTGTTTTTTTTGTTTTTTTTTTTCAGATCCTATCGTACTGTACTTATTTTCCGAAAAGAATCTTTCAAATCTAACGAGAATGCACAGATCTTGATAAAAAAAGAAAGAAAAAATGAAATTCTAATTAAGATAAAGATGTAGAATGTGTGTGTCAGAGAGAGAGAGAGAGAGAGAGAGAAATAAAGATATTGTAACAGAGAATTGCTGAGATTAAGAAAAGACAGGGAACTGTTGAGGACCCTGATCGTCTGCGTCCTGAAGGGACACGGTATACAAGGAAAGAAAGATATGAATTCCCCCTTGTATAGACTATGATGACCTAATTTTATGAAAGACAGACAAATATTGTGAAGATATTATGAAAGAGAGAAGAATATACGAATAAGCGATTGAATGAAACAAAAATGCGTAAAAGTGAGAGAAAATAGTTTATATATATAAGAAAGAGAAGCGGGAAAACGAACAAACGCGAGTGACTGAGAAATAATGGCCAGACAGGATGTACGAGAGAAAAATATTACAAGAATGAGGGAGGAAGGGAGAGAGAGATGTGTGAATAAAAAAATAAGAAGTTAAAAAGAGAGGGAGGGGCGGTAGAAATTTAAGATACAATAAATATTGAGGCGTCTGTGTATGTATTTGAGAGATTGGAAGTAAAGAAAGACAGAACATGTGTGGAGCTGATCAAACAAGTCCATAAAAATAGGCTGGATGCATAAAAGATTTTAAATATACTAAAAATACCTATGAACATTTCACGATTTTTGTTATTTGAATTTTCTGATGAATCATAATTACTGATTGAATAAATTCCTTGTGACTATAAAATACTCCTGAAAATTAAATCGTTAGATATTTGACCATAACAACTTTAATAAAATATTGCAATAATATTCAAAAGTATGGATCATTATTTTTTAAAAGTAAGATGTTACAAATGAAAAGATTTAAAATTGAAAAGTTTTCTTCCGTTTCACAAAAGCAGACCATAAACACATGAAAGCGTTATCGCGTCCTCTATCATCTTTCTTTCTTTCTTTCTTTCTTTCTTTCTTTCTTTTCACTGAAACCAAACTACGTCTCTGATATGTCTTTTCCGTCTTTCCTCTCGATCGAAATAGAATAGCTCATTATTTGTGGGGTTTTGCCAGGGTGTAATATATTTGCTAAGTAACTAAGGAACAGACAGAATTATAATATGATATTTCTCGGTATCAAGGATTTTACATAAACACGAATTAGCTGCTTTGCAGTGCTTATAGATCGGGGAAAAAATCTTAATTAAATACTCACTCAGAGGTTTAGACCCGATGTGACGCTGTTTAAAAAAAAAAAAAAAGGAAGAAAAAGAAATGATTAAATGGTAGATCTTTATCAGTTGTGTCGCAGCAACTATTTGAAGAATTTATGAGAATATGCGTCTCAAGCGGCATATACTAATAGACAACAGCTAGAAACCATTTTTATTTATTTATTCTTTGCGTACGATTTAAAAACGGTAAACAATTTACCAGGCATTCAACACATTTCAAGATGGCTGTCGGCGAATGCTCAAAAGTATTTCAATGACATACTTCGCATATTTGCTAGGCGCCTGGTGTAGAATTATGGTGACTATGTGAATATGGTATACGATCCTTACCGAGCGCTCTAATGTTGGGGCTGTGTGCCAGACTAAGTTTAGTAAATGACTATTTCATATAATTGTTTCAATGTACCAGGCAAGAAATGAAAAGCCCCTGCACAACAGTCCACAAACAGAAGATATTTACCGTATTTCCTCTTGTATAACACGCACTATTGTATAACACGCCCCTATAATTCGGCAAAGTTTGCAGTATTGCAGTGCCAAGTTAAACAGGGACGCCGAAATCAATTTTGAGTGTCACGGGGCAGATTTCCAGAAAAGTTATTTCCCTTCATATCTTCATTGTGAAGTTACGATAACATGGCAAAAGATCGAGGGTTGTAATGAAAGGCTACCAAGAAATGGAAAAAGCCATGCAATCAATATTTAAAGTATCTCTGAATATTATATCAAGCATAAAAAACAACGTTTCAACCATTCTACTATTCGACCTTCTTCAAGTATCTGTCATATTATATGCTTTGTTATTCAAATCGGCATGCTCATCTTGATAGTTATATTTACAACGCTTCGACTGTAGCACTCTCCGTCCAGTTTCAGATGTCTTTCTTCGTACTCGCTAACTTTCTTGCAATGTCAATATCAAAACCCTTTATTCAATCCAGAGCGAAAGATTGTTCGCATTTTGTTTTGTTTTCCCTGATTAGGGCATAGAATGTTCAAAATTACAAGTGAGAGACCGATTACGAAGACAGACATTTGAAGAAGGCCGGGAGTTACTACAGTCGAAACGATGTTAGAATAACAACTAAGACGAGCATGCTGGTCCTAATAGCAACAGACAGACACTTGAAGAGGGCCGGGAAGTACAACAGCATAGTGGTCTGAATAGCAAAGGATATGATAAGATAATGTCATGCATAAGACTGGAGGGTACAACAGTTTAAAGTATAAGCACTAAGACGAGAATGATGGTCCGAATTGGAAAGCATAAAGCAAAAACAAATGCAACCGATCATATACAGAAACAATGGCAAGATAAACCACTTCATGGCCAATACTCTGCCCGTACCAAACAAGCTGATGTAGACAAGCACCGTACCCATCAGTGGCTACGTAGTGCAAGGTTAAAAGCTGAAACGGAAGGTTTTATCCTTGCTGCACATGATCAGTGCTTGTTAACTAGAAATTATCAAGCAGACATACTAAAATATAGTGTTAGCCCAAAATGCAGGTTCTGTGATAATTACCCAGAAACAATCGATCATCTTGTATCAGGTTGCACGGTATTGGCACCCACTGAATATAAAACCCGGCATGACAGAGTTGGCCAATATTTGCATTGGAAAATCTGTAACTTCTACGGGAAGGAAACTAAAAGAAAGTGGTATGAACACCACCCAGACACGGTTACGGAAATAGGACCTGTAACAATTTCATGGGACTACACAATACACACAGACAAAACAATCAAAGCTAACCGCCCAGACATTGTTATTAGAGATCGCACACAAAAAGTGCCTCTTTATTGATATGGCAGTCCCTGCAGACTGCAATGTATCTTTGAAGATCTTCAAAATGATATCAAAATACAAGGACCTTGAAATCGAAATCTCAAAAATGTGGCACATGGGAACATCAACAATCTCAGTTGTAGATGGGGCCCTCGGATTGGTTGGAAAAGATTCCAATAGACTAATTGGAGGGATTTCTGGAAGCCCATGCCTTAAAGAAATACAAAAAATTTGTTCTCGCGACTACAGCCCACACCTTACGAAGGACTTTGTCTATGTAAAAAAAATTTTTCCAGTGGAAAATGTCATGATGTCATTTCTAACCTTAGGTGCCTGGGCGGGACCCGGAAAGAAATGAATACACATCAGAAATCAAAAGAATTAAAATAATAATAATAACAACTGGTTGTTGTTTGGCTAGATTCAGGCCTGAAAAATCAAGAAAAATTACAATACAAATGGCAATAAATATTCACCAACTTTCAATGGGTAATCGGAAAATGAGTGCTGTCGACATAAGAAATGATATAAGCCAAAAATATTTTTGAAAATGATTGCGACACATAGACAAATCTCCTGAAGAAATCTTAAACTCATGAGATGTCTGGCTTGTAAAAAGGTAACGTGTCAAATTTCAAAAGTGGGTGTATTGTGGATCAATCAAAACGTCGAGAAAAGCAAATGTCAAATAGCATTGAAAACAGTTTTTTTCCATTGTCAATTTTGAAGCACGTGACCGTACAGTTTATTAATAAAGAAACAGAAACTACGACTTCCTGTTCAACTTGACCTGGGTCATCAGAAAGATGCTCTCCTGTGAGGAGACGGGAAAATGAAAAGCAAAACAAAAACACCCACATTGCAAAGAGGGAATATATAACTGTATGTTCCAGTCTTTCTAAAAAAAAAAAGGCCTTGCAGTGTCTTTATTATATTGATTATCATGACAGAGCAGCAAAAACAAAGCGACTTAAACCAATCAGTGTTCAGCAAACAAAGACGGAAATAAAATCAGTGTTCAGCAAACAAAGACGGCGATAAAATAGATCCCCAGGCTATTTTGCTGGTAAATATTTTTTATTATTATGGAGGCAGGTAATGTTAAAAATAACAACACAAAGATTTAACACAGAAGTTTATTTATTTTCATCATAAATTGTTAAGACAATTGAAAATCATTTCCACCATCAATTGTTAAAACACAAGTTAAAATCATTTATTCATCATCAATTATTAAAAGAAATATAGAAGTCTGAATATTTAAAGCACTTCAAGCAATAACAGTCTCTGCAAATCCAAAACTTGTCATTGGACGTTGTTCTCTGGCCAATACACTTCAGGTGCACCCACTGAAGACAACAGTCACAGATCACAGTAGCCATGATGTTCAATTCCTGCTTACACAGCTCACACATCAACTGCGTTGATGATCTAAAATATAATATATTCTTAAGTCTAAAATACTATTTATATTTACCGGAAAAATAGCCTTGGTGTTTATTTTACCGAGACCGGCAAAATAACCTTGGTGTATATTTTACCGGGACCGGAAAAATAACCTTGGTGTTTATTTTACCGGTACCGGCAAAATAACCTTGGTGTTTATTTTACCGGGACCGGCAAAATAACCTTGGTGTTTATTTTACCGGAACCGGCATAATAACCTTGGTGTTTATTTTACCGGGACCGGCAAAATAACGTTGGTGTTTATTTTACCGGAACCGGTAATATAACCTATTCGTAAAAAGGTTGAACAGAAACAGTTTCGGCACACTGCTATTTTGCTTCCGACTGTGTCGTTACCATCTCAAATTTTAAACAGCGGATGAATATGGTCGGAGAGATGGCCGATTTAAGGATTTTACTTGAATTCCTTTCACTGCCATAATCTATCTTTATAAGAGTCAAGAATGTAATATTGCTGCGATATCTTGGCGGGTGATGCCCAATCCTCATTGTTTAGCATTGACAGAGTTCAAAAGCGCCTACGCGGCCTTGTGGGTGATGAATTATTCACCAGCCTGCAACCCTTATCCCACAGACAAAACGTCGCCAGCCTTTCACTATTCTATCGCTATTACTATGGCAGATATTCGAACGAGTTGCATTCCTTAGTTCCACCAGCTCAGACCTTCATAGGTAGGACCTACCATGCCGTGTTCACCCATTCCGTTCCTCAAAACTATACTTCGTGGAACAAGCACTCGAAAGAATTCTTCCCTGACAATTATAATCTTGGTCTCTTTAAGTGCAAAGTCAACCGATATCTATGCTACTCATCCTATTGATACTCTTTTATCCACTTCTACAATTTCACTTAGTAACCCTCTATCATAAGTAGGCCTTGAGCCTTGTATTCGGTGAACTCTCAGTTAAAAGAACAAAACAAAAAAAGAAAGAAAACCTACCAGATTTGGGTTGTTGTTGAAGCAGCTATTCTGAACAATACTCGTTCAAATCTATTGTGTGCATGCACAATATTAGTAAAGAAGAAATATACAACCTTTCTAAAAGGACTTTTGATAGTATACATAGAGTTTCTGTTATAATTCTGTCTTTTACACCGGAACAAGACACGCAGCTAGATATTTGTGTTACAAACCTTTATGTACATAGAAACATTTCAGGAATCAGTAAGTTAACACAACCCACGAGCGCTTATAAAGCACAGGAAATAGAAAGGTCCATTTTACTATACAATCCGAAATAGAAAAGGTTTCATTCAATATTTTTCTGAGTCTCTTCCAATGATCGTAGGGAGATAAAAAAAAATTGTAGAAAGATGTATCTATACGTAGGATGTACTTCAATTTTGCAGCCTCTACAAATAGATGTTTGTTTCAGTTCTGAATGTGCAGTAAGTTATGATCATGGAGCCAGTGGAGTTCAGATCTGTAATATGATTCCTATTTTTAGAAACGTAACATCACAAATAATTAATCCGGATTACTTCGGAAGTGTGCTGGCCAAACTCTCTGCCTTCGGGTAGAGATGATCCCCAGACAAGGCTATGCCGAAGAGCAGAGTTTCGTCTTGGGAGGCAGCTACCTAACCTCATTTTTTACGGGCTCAGGAACCCCACAATAACCTCTGCCTTGTGCCACATCCAAACGCGTGGGGCGATTAGTGAATATCTCACTATCCGGATTACTTCGGAAGTGTGCTGGTCAATCTCTCTACCTTCGGGGAGAGAGGATCCCCAGACGAGGCTATGCCAAATAACAGAGTTTCGTCTTTGGAAACAGCTACCCAACCCCGTTTTTTACGGGGTCTACGGGGAATTTTTAGCCGATCTTACGGGCTCGGGTACCCCACAATAAACTCGGCCTTTTGACACATCCGACCGCGTGGGGCGGTTAGTGAATATCTCACAAATAATTTTGGTGATGATGGCAGTGGGCGATCTTGGTGCTCCAGCTTGTGATGCTATTAATTACTGACATCACAAACGTGGTCAGATTTCTGTAAAAACAGCACCAGTTCCAGCCACTCCCAACAAACTATTGATGGTGACACTATCTAGCAAGTCGGGTCTGTGGGATTGATTCACTCGTTTTCTACAGCTTATCAACCCTTTGCGGCTTATTTAAAACCAGAAAATATTTCTAGATTATAAGAATTTTTTGAGATAACAATCATTTAGTGATGCAAGTTTTAATAATTAATCCATAGTTGGGAGCAGAAGAAGTGGATTCATATTTTTCCAAAGGGTATTTGCGTTTTAAGTGAATATAACGAACCCAACTGGAATTGGAACTCGGTTCTCCGATAGCCAGATTATGTGCTCTCTCTCAGAAAATGTAACTAAGGTCTGCTCAGCATTGTTGCAGTATAAAACACCTGTCACAACTGTAGATGTTGACGAAACACAAATGTGACTGAGCTGGTGTCTGCAACAGGGATTAGCTAGTCACCCTAACAGACGGGTGTATTTGGAAACAAGTAACTAGCCATCATTATATATTGCTGATACACCCTGACTAATGGACGGAGTGATTCCCGGTGGGTTTGTCTACGAAATCCTGGTGTGGAGTCGAGATCCTGAAAGCAAAATCAATCAGCTAAGTGACAAACCTTTTATTTGTATTAATTATTGGTATCTTTACTTTTTCACTGAAAATGTAACATAGGATGATGAAAAAAGGTCCCATTTTATAGTATTTTAATTTTTATTATTTGTTCAGGAAACATCTTCAAACGTAAGGTTATAAATCTAAAGTAACTAAAATTCAATAAGATATTAGATAATTACTCAAAATATGTTAATTTTTTTAGAATTAATAGGTAGTTAAAAACAAAAAAAATTCTAATTAGATTTCGTAAATTTATCTCAATTCTGATCAACCATACTTAGCTGTCAACACCTTAGTCTGTTAATAAATCAGTCAGCATGTTAGGAAAACAAGAACCTGTGCTTACGAAATGGTTGTATACCACGTTTTATGCTATGAGTATTATTTGTTTCAAATCAGATCAATTTAACTTTAGATTTGCTAATTTTCCTCAAATAACGTGTCACAAATATATAATTTATTTTTTCAAGATTTTTAAAAACCGAGAATTAAATTTTGCTTATAAATTTGTCAAGATGGCCGAATTTAAATGATTTTTTGAAAGCGACCAAAAAGTTGAGATTCCAATCAATATACAGAGTCATTCAAAAAGAATGAACCGATATTATTACGCAATATTTTAATAAGGAAAAGCAATATAAAACTCCCGCCAAGTCACAAGTATTCTACTCACAATCAACTTTTATGTCCTGTCTTACATTTGTTCAATGTGGCTACCACCTACAACACGGGCAACATCATAAGATGCGACAAGAGAATTCTTCGCAGACGCGTATCAGCATATCACAATGCACTGAATTGATCGCTGTAATTATTCGATGTTTAAGGTCATCGAGGTTAGTAAGTAGTGGTAGAGCACAAACGCAATCTTTTATGTATTCCCACAAGAAAAAATCACACACGGTGAGATCTAGTGATCTCACAGGTCAAGCACAAAGGCGTAGTCTGTATGGTTTCAAATGTAGACGTCTTCTTAGCACACGCCAGATAGTGGATTGAGAGATCACAAGCTCACTGCTAGCTCGATTTATGGACTTCCGTGGACTCCCTTCAAACGCAGCACGGATTCTCGCCATTTGTTCCTTCAAAACTCGTGGTCCTCCTGGACTTTTTCCTTTACACAGACACCCACTCTTTTGAAACTGTTTAAACTGCCATCGAATGTTCTTAGGAGATTAGGACGGATTAATGTCGAATTGGCCCCGAAAAACACGCTGCACTACCGTATTTGTTTTTGCGAACTCGAGAACGCAGAACGCCTTTTGCTGAGGACTCACCATTCCGGGGGTAAGCAAACAACTGAGCGTTGCCTGAGATACGACGCGACTACAGCGCCTCTGTAGCAGCCATTCAAAAGTTAGAAAACTCCTCTTTCAAATGGTCACTGAATCATTCCATGGCGATGCTTGAGAACTGAAGCAATGCCTCATTCTTTTTTAATAACGCTATAATTTCTGTTTAAAATACACCAGGGTATTTTGCTTAGTGGAAATAATAAATATAATCATTTAGCTTTCAGTTAAAGCCAAAAAGAAAACTTCAAGAAAGTTTTTTTCATTTATAAAAAATATTTTAAATCAAGGTATCGAAACTGAGTGGATATAATAAAAATATAATTTTAAGGTATGTTGCATTTATGGATTAAAGTACTCAATATCAGGGATAGAGGGTATGTAAATATTAAATTTGGGCATTGACATTGAGGTGAACACCCAGCGACAACAGTCTGTTTCATGCTTAAACCTCAATGTACACTTTATATATATATATATATATATATATATATATATATATATATATAAGGGCAGTAACCTTTGTTTTAAACATCTTTCGTTAAATATGACAGACAAGGAAAATTTTATTTCTTATTTAGTTTTTCCATCCTTCTTACATTTTTCCGTTTGGTAGGAGTGAGGGAGTGCAAAAAATATCCATATTGTCCAATTGTCTCAAGCGTTTTCGGCCACTTCTTTGGCCATTTTCAATATATATTTATAACAAATTATATATTGTTTAAAACATGTGATCTTTATGATGGAAGAGAACTCAAAATCGGATATAGTGCGTCTATAGCCATAGTGTATATAGAAATGAACACTGTATGGCGACTGTCACTGTATGGCGACTGTATGGTGAATGTATGCTGTTTCACGTCTCAAGTGATCCTCCGGTGATGTGTCACCACTCCTTACGAGGGCTTCAGATATCGGCCACTGGAACTATGGAAACTGGGAGAAGGAGGGAAACGGCCCTCCCCGGTTCTTTTGTTTACATATTCTGTCAACAATGACAGTATATATGAAATTAATATTTTCTAATGTCCGTACTTATCAAGTTTTCACATGTGAGCCTATAGAAATATTTTTACATTTATTATTATTATTTTCTTTTGCTCTTTTACGAAGTCGGTCTTTTCACCTCACAGCTTTGCAAAGAACTTTGAACAGTCTGGCATTGTCATAACTTCGCGCTAATATGCTTGGGAAAGTGTGAATCCTTTCGCTATGGGTTAAATAACAGAGCAGGTTGAGATTTCTTGTCATGAGGCGGCAACGAGTGTAGAAGAAGGAAATCTCTGAGTTTAAAACCAGTCTGTAGAGGGATGGTCTCCCTCGGGTTATCTTGCCCTAGACACACAGCTGCTATGGCTACAGTAAATATGGCGCATCTACGAGCCTAATGGGTTATGGGAAAGACACATTGTTAGCTAAGCCTGGGTTAGGGTTAAGAAATTCTAAAGTTTGAGCCTGGTTTCATATTCACAGGACAGATTGAGGGACAGAGGGAAGCAGCGCGTGACATTTGATGGGCCTAAGTAAATGGAAGGTAGAACAGGGTTTGGGAGGAATAACATAAAGACAAGACTTATTAAGAGCTATAAGGGACAGGAAGATGTGGAAGGTTATGATCGCCTACGTCCTGAAGAGACACAGTACATAAAAGAAGAACCCTAATGAGAGAAATTTCAATGACTGGCGCTTAATAAAGTTACATTAAAAAAATCTGGGTCTCATTTCATTCTTAAAATATGCTTAATTTTTTGTATTCATCTGAGCCTTGCTATATTTATAAGATGCTAAAAATACTATGTGAGGGGGAGAAAGGAAGAAAAAAGAAAGATGTAGGGAGAGAGAGAAATAAAGAAATCAAGAAATAAGAAAGAAAGAAAGAAAGAAAGAAAGAAAGAAAGAAAGAAAGAAAGAAAGAAAGAAAGGGGAGGAGAGAGAAAGAAAGAGGGGTAATGATATAGAGAAAGAGAAAGAAAGAGATAAAGAAAGAAAGAGAGAGAAAGTAAGAGAGAGAAAGTAAGAGAGAGAAAGCAATAGAAAGTGAGACAAAGAAAGAAAGAAAGAAAGAAAGAAAGAAAGAAAGAAAGAAAGAAAGAAAGAAAGAAAGAAAGAAAGAGGAGGAGAGAGAAAGAAAAGATTGAGAAAGAAAGAGGGGTGATAATATAGAGAAAGAAAGAGAGAGAAAGAGAAAGAAAGTGTGAGATATATAGAGAAAGAGAGAGATAGAGAAAGAAAGAGAGAGAAAGGGAGAGAGAGAAAGAAATAGAAAGGGAGACAAAGAAAGAAAGAAAAAAGAAAGAAAGAAAGAAAGAAAGAAAGAAAGAGACAGAGAAAGAGAGGGATAGAGAAAGAATGAGAGAGAGACGTATTCAAGGAAGGAGAATATAATGAAAAAGAAACTGCAGAACGCTTCTACGTATTTAAAGAGAGAGAGGAAAGAGAAGGAACGTGGGAATACTGTGTAGTGCGTCTACAATTTGCACATTTACAAGGAACTTATAAGAAGAGGATACAGACATTTGGTATATGTGCAAAGAAGAGAAAGAGAGAAATTAGTTGTATGCGAATAAAAGTGAGAATGAATAGAAGTCAAACTTTGAGAGAAAACCGGAGAGTGAAACGCTGACGAAAAAAAAAACACAAAAAAAAAACGAGAAAGTACGAGACGAGATGAATAAAGGTTGTATGTACCGACGACATACATTCGGCGATTTAATTGAACCAGAATATCGATTTGCCCTCTTATATACAGACTACATGTCAACAATGTTGTCCCCTGAGAACGAATAGTCAACTTCTATTCGTTTTATTGCCGTTTTCTTATTGTTTTAAGCAGGTGAAACGCACAGTCGTACTTCCTTTAATAGCGAGGATTTTTATTTTCAATTTTACAAATAAAACAATAGATTTCTTACATTTGAAATAATAAACGAAATGTGCATGAAATCAAATTTATTTTTTAAATTATAATTTTAATTGTTTATATTTATTTTTATGTTTAATTTTGGCTTAGATATTTTCTAAAACTCAAATGAACTCAGCACATTTTGGTTTTTACTAGCGATCAGGTCATTTATTTTAAATAGACTTGTATAAAAAGGAAAGCCCGATTTAACTCAATTCAACCCGTCGTAGCGTTTTATTGGTTCGACACTCCGATGTCTACGCTCCGTAAAGAATAATACAGTATAATATGAAAGTAGAATACAGCTGTTCGTCTGAGCAATTTTGTAATAGACTGGTTCTTGAAAAATCAATTTTATTAAAAAAAAATTGTTAATGCAGTATTCACTCATAAAAAAAAGAATTATTCTACCAATTCAAAAAAGACGTTTTGGATTTAAATAACCTATAAAGGGTTGATTAACCATAAAAACAAATCAACCAACCATAGGAGAAGTAATAGTACTAGTAGTCATATTGTTATTATTACAACAGTTAGAAAAGACAGCGAATTTAATAATGTTTCGATAGTATGGTGATTTTCTAAGCGTAGCTTAGATGTGCCACAAGGCCGGAAATATGGTGATCCCAGTGAGGACCGAACTCACTACTCAATCGTAATTGTTCTAGCGAAACAAGCTTGCGAATCATTACACCACGTAATGGTGCCCAATATTTTGACAGTATATCTGTCTTCTTTACGTTCAAAACTTGCATACAAGTGTAGTGGACCGTGGCTGTAATGTTGTTGAGTAGAAGTAGAAGAAACACATGTGGGTTCAGATTTTCCTGCTAGCTGGTCCAACTACACAAGAAAGTTGGACTTTTAATTAAGTCCAAAGAAGAAGGCAAAGAAAACAAACAAAACAAAAGACCGATAATATATGTATACAAATATATATATTAATAACAGGTTACATAGAAACAGTTACAAAAGGACAAAGTGTGTGTGTGAATATTATATATGTGCGTTTGTGTGTGTGTGTATTGTGCTTAGCGTGTTCCCAGCATTTTGGGAAACGCTATCTCTGGTGAGCGTTCACATTTTTGAAGTGGTAAGGCTGGAAGCCTGAGGAAAAAGAGAGATTTACCTCCAGGTGTCGGCGCAAAGGTCTGAGGAAAAAAGAGAAAGAGGCGAAGGGTCAGCGACTATTTATATTCAGGGAAAAGAGACCCCTGGTGAAAGGGTTAACGAACTGAAGGAGGAGTTAACTCTGACGAGACCCCTGGTGAAAGGGTTAACGAACTAAAGGAGAAGTTAACTCCGACACAAGTATAAACATTATTTAAAAAATTACTAGTTTTTGTATAAACGTCGCTTCTTTTCAGAAAAACAGTTGTACTGGTAATCAACGCGACACAGCTAATGAAACGTCGCCAGTGTAAATGGAATGCAACTTAAACGCGAGTAACGTAATGGGGATCGTGCTCATCTTGAAATTTTGTTTCTTCTTCTTCTTCTTCTTCTTCTTATTATTATTATTATTATTATTATTATTAAATTGTGTTTTTTTCCCTTTATAATCTGATGACTCAACTTTTGGATGGCTTTGAGGACATTCAAATTGATTATATTTTATTATTATTAAAAATTTATGTTTGTATCTTTTAAAAATTTATGTTTGTATCTTTTAAATATATATTTAATTCCTTTGAAATGCATTTAACAAATAAGTTTTAGGTTAATAAAAGTTTTGAATAAGAACATTTTACAACCGTGGATAATTGAAATTGTGGTTCGTGATTTAGCGGGTAGTGAGATCCAATTATAAATATGTACACATACACACACACGCGCGCGCAATTACTACATATGACACACCTGTGTGTAGTTTTTTTTTTTTTTAGTAGACACGTCCGGAGGCGTATGAATGTGTATAGGCGAGTATTTCTGTTCGATGTTTTCATTGAGAAGTGAGTGGGTTAAAAGTTCTTTAATAGTAGTCTCAAAGTAAGTTTGGGAAAAATGTCAGTTATTTCAGTAAGTTGAACCTCAAAGGTCTGTAGATAGATAGATAGATAGATAGATAGATAGATAGATAGATAGATACAAGTGTTTAACAAGTTGCTGTATAGATGATAACGTTCCTCACTACTCCAAGTAAAAGGTTAGGAAGTAAACTCACCCACCCCTATCGATACTGGAAAGAGCGATAACAGCTACTGGACTTGAGAAACCTGTTTTATGAAAAATTGTTTTAAGAGAAAGATTTTATAAATTTCAATCGACAACAGTACCGGCTGCTCGGTCAATGAATGCCGAATGTTTCCTTATAGGGAAACAGGTGATATTGCCGTTATCATTGCTCAAGATTATCGATATCAAAGCAGCTTACTCACTAGACCAAACTGACTGGGGATATCTTCTTCCTCCGTCTGACCTCATACAAGCTGCATCGTTGATTATTATAATGATTTTCCCGCCATAATCTCACATGCTGCTTCCCATAGCAGGATTTTTTTTCGAGGATTACTCCGTGTTGATTTATTTCTGGAAGCAAGTGAATTGTGCAAGATCTGTGACAGGAAAGTGATTCCATTCTGCATCAAGACCAGGCTGTTCTATGCCTTGATAATCCCCATAGCAATATATGCTTGTGAAACCTGGACACTAAGAAAAGAGTACTTACAAAGTATCTCAATCTTCAAAATCAAGTGCCTGATCAGAATTATGACTAGGAAAAATATCAGAGACAGAATCAGAATGGATGCCACGTGAAAAATGCTAGATAGGAATCCTGACATAATTACCCTGATTAGAAGAAGGAAGCTAAATTGGTTTAATCATGGAATGAAACGAGGTTCATTGATTGATTCCTTCGATTTCTTTTACAGATTATCAACCCTTTGTAGGTTATTTAAAGCCAAAACCTATTTTAGATTGTAAGAATTCTTCTTTTTTTTCTTTTTTTTTTTTGTAAGTGAATATTGCATTAACAGCTTTTTGGAGAATAACAATGATTTTTCCAAACACAAATCATACTATTTAATCCATAAATTGGGGGAGAAGAGATAGATCCATAGCTTTACCAAGGATATTAGCGCGTAAGTAAATGTGACGGACTCGACTAGAATTCGAACTCGTCTCTTCAATTTTTCGTGCCAAACCACTATCGATTGCACCACCCGAACATCCAATCAGAAGAGGAAAACAAAGTTTTGGGTATAAATCCTATAGAGACAACTTCCCTGGCAAAAGATTGCCTTTGGTAGACCACTTAAAAGAGGGGAAGGCCAAATCATAGAAGAAACTGGAATACCACTTCTGACACTTGAAAGGATTGCCTTGGGCATGAAGAAATGGCGAAGTTGTGTGGACAAGAAGTGCCCAAGACCCCTTTTGGGATTATATAACAATAGATAGATAGATATACAGACAATACAGGTGTTTATTTATATATATATATATATATATATATATATATAGAGAGAGAGAGAGAGAGAGAGAGAGAGAGAGAGAGAAGAGAGAGTACAGGTAATCGATCCGTTGGTATATAATCAGGGTGGATCCTAGTAATATTAATTATTAAAACTGATCCACAGTGAGCTCGATGTTTTTATTTTAACAGAGCATATGTATTTTTTAAGGCAAAAAACCAAAAATTACCTCAACATAGAAATAGTCTAATTCAAGCCGTTCTGTACACGGCTATCATCAGCCCCTAAGTGTCTGTCTCGAAACATTAATCAGTCAAAATTAGCTACTCCTGCACTGATAATATGTAACAAATTATTAATTCTCATAACAATTACATTTTAAGTAAATTCAATGGGGAAAAAACTAAATCTAACATGGAAACCCCCTCTCATTGTAGAATTAAGAAAAACTTCCCAGTAGAGGGCAAGTGCAGATCCACTAGGGTAGTATACCAGGCAACCATTAACCCTAAAGAAAATACGACAAACCATAATATTTACATCGGCATTTCTGCAGGAGAATTTAAAAAGAAAATCGATACACATAGGCATACATTCACGAATCCAAAATTAAAACACCAAGCAACCCTTTCGAAAAAAAATTGGGGAATTGAAGAAAAAGGGTCTGAATCCTCAAATAAATTAGAAAATTCTAGGGTTTCGCGAACACCCCCAATAGTTTTAGGGATAGGTGCAAGCTTTTAGAAGAAAAAATCAGGATAATAAAATATAAAGATCAATGCAAACTATTAACTCAACGGAGAGAACTAATCACGAAATGTAGACATAGAAATAAATTCGAAATTACATAAGAATACATATGCATATATTTAGGGGTTTATGTGTACGTATAGTGACATATATGTATGAACATGTAAATATACAAATATGTATGTATGAAAATATGTACGCATATAAGTGTGTTGGACAGCATGATTGATTCTATTGGGGACTCTGGTATTACCCACAATCTATAAATCTGTAATTCAACTAATTTACATTAATCTTAATAGGCTTATTAATAATATTGGACACCTGTAGGACAAAACTATTTACTGTGAATCCCAGAAAAAACACACTCCGGGGCTTTTATAAGAAACACCACATAGTAGAAACTGATAATAAACGACAAACAAGTCCTGGCCATAAATAAACTCCAACCCCAGACCGCTTCCCCCGGGATACCTTACGGCCCCCACCAATCGCTAACACAAACCCACTCTCATTAACAAGGTGTCTACCAGAGGAGGACTGACATTGAAAATAAATTTAAAATTACTCCGAAGACTGACATTGAAAATAAATTTAAAATTACTCCGAGATAGACAGGTGCCGATGATAGCCGTGTACAGAACGGCTTGAAATAGACTATCTCTATGTTGAAGTAATTTTTGTTTTTTTGCTGTTATATATATATATATATATATAATCCGACATATTTTAATTTATTTATTTAAACGTTGTTTTTCATGGACACTCATATTTGAATAGATGCTCTGTTTTTATTATTAAACAGTATATTTATTTATATCTACCGGCCTGAATACTCGAGAAATCATGTTCGAAAAATATACACCCTTTGGCAGGATTCGAACCTCTAGGGAAAACCGTTATCTGACCTTCTTTGACCTCTCGGTCATGTATGACCTAATCAAAGCCCGAGTAGTGCCTATTTTTCGTGCAAGATTTCTCGAATATTCAGGCCGGTCTATGATTTTTAAGCATGTTCACCCCAAGTAAGATAAGTAGAGTCACTGAGACACAAGGGATTACTTGGTGTGGGAAAATTAGAAAACAGAAACATTACTAAGGAGCGAGAACAAAGGAAAAGTATTCAGTAAAACAGTAGATGGCGATTGACATTGCATTTAAATTTTTGTAGATTAAAGTTGACTGAAAAGCATAGAGACGGAAGAGAGCTCCACAAGTGAGAAAAGAAGCAGCTAGCATAGAACATACGGTAACAATTAGCCAGCTCAAGTGTAAATTGATGAGACCTCGTCGCAAGTTTAATATTGCGTTTTAATTTATAACGTCTAGACATCATAGTGAAGAACTCATCCGAATAATTACCATGAAAGTATAGAAAGGGCATAAGTGGCGTTGAGAAAGTGACTAAAGCCGAGGCTTCGGGTTTGGACGTTTTATTATTGATGCTTTGGATTTTATCAAGGATCTCCGGATATAAAGCAGGATCTCCGGATATAAAGCAGGATCTCCAGATCATATGCGGCAACAATGTTCTAAGCATGGACGAAGGCTAGACTTATATATATGCGAGATAGATTCAGGAGAGAAAAATTGTCTAGCCCGACACTGTGAACCAACCTTCTTAGCAGCAGACCTAGCAATAGATTCAATGTAGATTTCCACTTCATGTCAGACGAGAACGTTAGCCCCAAGAAGGCACAAATCAACCGGAGATCAATCCGATATATCAAGACTGAAGTAGAAATGACACCTGAGTACGACAGAATAAGCATTAGTCATAAGACATTTTTTATTCATCCTGTCACTACATAGCAACAACACACCCGATCATCCATTCACTATTAAGTATGTAGTAGAGAATATCTAAAAACCGAAACAAATAGGGAAATATAACTAAATGAAGATTACATATAATTAACGAAAAACGAAACACACTCGAATGGTGATTAGAATGCAAGACGACGACGACTGGACTCGGTTTCGACGTACCATTCGCCGAAATTTTTAACCAGTGTAATGACTGAATTCAGAGTTCAGTGTTCAAGTTCCGATCTACTTCTAAACCTACTACTGTCAAACCCGGAAAAATTCTTCTAAATCGCAAAGAAGGTCCTCAACGGATCGTGATGACACGCACAGCGACCAGCTTTTAGCAACTTAGCGAAGTCAAATTTAGCTCGCACGAAAGTTTGTCAATCAACGAGAGTGCGCCATCCACAACCTGACGATTACGGTAACCACCTTGTTTGCCCCACGAACGGAACTGAGTCATCCGTTACGACTGCCGTCGTTTTGTTTAGAGAATGACTCGGTATCCTGTGTTCAATTGAACACTAAATTTTCGATTGGCCCGAACCAGACATAAACAGAATGCAACACTGAACAAAATAAAATAAAAACAACTTTCAAAATGAAACAAAAAAAAATTAGTAACAATTCATAACTACGTGAAAATGCCTACAGTCAAATGACGCTGAAAACACCAGTTCTTGTTCGATGACTGAAGTCAAGCAATGTCGAATCCGGAAAGATGGTAGACACCGGGTACCGTAAGCAACTACAACCTACAATCCGAAATATGTTTCGACTTTATTAACACACAAAGGGTTGACAAACCGTAAAAAACAAACAAATCAATCCTACTTGAAAGTAACACCCCTTAATCTTCAAGGATTTTTCTGTCACCTGTAATGAGAGCATTAGCCTGTTCAGTTCTATCCAAATTCACAACTGACCTGCCACTGAGAAGCCTGCCACTAAGAGCAGCTTCTCCTTTCTCTCCAGGATTGCCCTTAAGTCAACTGATCCATCTCCTTATCGTGATTACATCAAGTGCAGGCTTTCCATAAACATTCTCTAACTTCTTGTAAATGCTTTAGTCTACACAAAATAGAAATTTTGTGACGCGCTTTGCTTTCTGAGGGACCTGAAGATGATTATGGATAGGAAAAGAGAAGGTAACTCCACAAAATCTTTCCATCGGCTCGGCTTTTAAACACTTTATGCTTTACAATCGTTCTTAAATCTAAGAATACTGAATAATACAATAAATATTATTATTTTTTTAACCATCCGTTGTGTGTATATATATATATATATATATATATATATATATATATATAAAAAAATCACACGAGGGGAATTCATGTCTAAAAGATAAGTTATGGCAAAGGTGCGGATAATTTTTACTTAGCCTTTTATATATATATATATATATATATATATATATATATATATATATATATGCAAGTTTCATTGAAAACAGCGAAAACTTCATATTGATTATTTTTATTTATCTGTTCAACACTCCTAGTATTTTTTTCTAATTTCCAGTTTGTAATGGAAAGGGATGAAGTCGAGTCTTGAAGCAAGTTCTAGAGACAATAGAAACAAAAAGGGCACCTATAGTTAATATCAGGAAATGACAGTTGCGATTTCTGGGGCAATTGATGAAGAAAGGGGGGACTGCAAAATTTGATACTCCCAGGACATATTGACGGTAAGAGAGCCAGGGGAAAGTAACGCATGACTAACCACCCTAGCTTAAGTAAATGAATAATGGATCATGGTTTAGAAGAGATAGTAAAAAGACAAAATTTATTAAGAGCTATATATATATATATATATATATATAAAGAAAGAACAGTAAGATATAAAATCCGGTGTTCTTATAGATATTTTTATTTTTACAAAATAGTGCTCAATGTAAATTTACAGAGCATTAATATTATAAATTAATTGATTTAAAATATGTTTTTTTTCGCTACACAGTTCCAACCATGTTTCAAAAACAGAAGCTAAAAACCCCGAATTTAATTTTGCAATTAAATTAAAAGCATTAGTTCCATTTCATCTTCAAGCAAATTTTGGAGTAACTTTTAAAAATTACCGGGTTTTAAAGACACAGCTAAAATCACGTTTCCATGGATGGAAACGTGATTTTAGCTGTGAGACAAACAGAGAATGTCTCATATCGAGAATATTTCACATTGAACATGAAGAAAAATTAATTATTTTTTAATAATATGTGGAAATCTCCACTTTTACCGGAAGACGGTCGCGAGACCAGAAACACATGTCGTAAAATCATGTAAAACAAAGCATAATATTTTTCTAAATAAATCCACATTACAACCAAAAACGTTTGCGGCACCTCTCTTCTTCTTTTTTTTATATATATATATATATATATATATATATATATATATATATATATATATATATATATATATATATATCCGGTGTCGAATGAACGTATTTAAGTTGTTGAGATGCATTTGATTGATTCGCTGAACCACCTTTAGACGACATTTTATCCATGCCACTCTGTGTGTGTGTATGATTATATCTGTGTGTGTGTTTGTGTGTGTGTGTTTTTGTTTGTGTGTGTGTGTGTGTGTGATTGTATCTGTGTGTGTGTTTGTGTGTGTGTGTCATTTTATCTGTGTGTGTGTGTCATTGTATCTGTGTGTGTGTATTTATGTGTGTATGTGTGTGCGTGTGATTGTGTGTATCTGTATGTGTGAAATTATTATCCAACAGGCTAAACCAGAGAAAATCTTACTAAAGAAAATATACCCCGCAGCAAAGATTGAAGCTGACTTCCATATCGAAATATGTTTGCAGGAGCCAGGCATGACTTAACCGCTCGTTGGGATTCTGCAAACTTATTTCTTTATACGAAATACAATCACAGTAATTTTAAAGTAATTAACTTAAAATTAACACAATTTCTTTTTCTCATATTCTTTCACACTCAATAACCCTTGCGTTGTGGTGACTTTATTGGCTTAATGGATTTTAATCCGACATTATTTTCATTTACTATTTTATTGGATGAAGGTGTCTGAGAGGACACAACCGTTTTTAAACAATAAAATTCATGGGATAACAGAAAGTTTTATTAAATAAAATGTACCTCTCGGTCGCGATCAAATCAAACTTGATCATTGCACCGCTGGCTAAAATGTGGCTTCCAGGTAAAAGAGAATGCAGGTTAGTTTCCCAGCTGAGAGGTAGACTTTCTTGAATAAAAACTTTCTTTGTTTATGATGGTGAACATTAATTTAACTGTTTAAAAATTAGGAAGGTCTTCTCTCTCTCCACCTCCCTCTCTCACGCACACACACAAACGCGGGCGCATATATATATATATATATATATATATATATATATATATATATATATACAGTAAAACCTCGAATTAATGGTCCCGGAACCAACGGACTCCGGATTTAACAGGCAAAATTCGCAGAAATGGTAGTGTCCGGCTGGAAATCAAAACGCCCGCACGTAGCGAACAAAGTTCTTTGGCCGCCGTTATTTTTTTGTCAAGCACTTTACTATGTCATCCGATTGTGCGTGTAATTTATTTTAAGTTACTATATAGTAACTTACAAATAAAATCCACATATATATATACTACTGTATATACATTTATTTACAATAATTTTATACTGGGTGTTTTAGGCCACGACAAAAAGTGCTTCAAATTAACGGACAAATGACTTTAACAGACGACCCTCTCCCTATTAGTCCGTTAAATTGAGGTTCAACTATATATATATATATGTGTGCGTGTGTCATTCCAACTGGAAGACGCCAGCCTGACAAACAGATATTAAAACACTACACATTTCTTTCATTCTGACCCGAAAAAGTTTTCCATTTTGTCTAATTCATCAATATATATATATATATATATATATATATGTGTGTGTGTGTTTGTGTGTGTGTGTTTGTGTGTGTGTGTGTGTGTGTGTGTGTGTAAAATGTGTGTGTATATATATATATATATATATTATTTCTCTTTATGTGTGCTCAATATCAGTGATAAATCAATCCAACTATATATATATATATATATATATATATATATATATATATATATATATATATATATATATATATATAAGTATTACCAGTTTGTGACTGGTACGGATAATTCAAGGGGATATAAATCCAGGGAGAGCTCAATGTAGACTACAGAGTATAATAATAATAATAATAACAATAATAATAATAATAATAAAGAAGGAAACATTAATTATTCATTTCGATTATAATTTATTTCGTGAACACCGAAATGTTCATCTCTTCAGATCGAAATCTCCTTATTAAATGGAGACAATACACCGGATGGATATATTAAATTGATAGTGGGGAGGGAAAGCAAGAGAAAAGAAATGAGATATGGGGGGGTATGGAAAAGAAAGGGTAAAGGAAGCAATAGTTGGGTAGTCGTAATCTTAGACCGGCTGACCCGGCCGAGAATTTTTTTTCTTTAAAGTTTGGAACTTTTTATATTACGTTATATATCAAATTGACCTATATAGTTTGTTGTTTTAGGCAGGACAAACCAACTTGATTTCAAATTAGTTAGTCTAATACAAATAATGAGTAGAGATTACAATAATAATACCAAAGTATTCATCTTTTCAGACCGAAATTTCTTAGTCAATGGGGACATTATACCGCATATATATATTCGATTTATAGGAGGAAGGGAAAAGAGAGGAAAGGAGGGAAAGGCTCTTTTAAAACGATGAGATGGAGTGGGGGAGAAAGGGGTTAAGGAGGTTACAGATGGGTAGTAGTAAGCCTTAACCGACTGACCCAACCAAGAATTTTCTTAAAATTTCGAATATATATATATATATATATATATATATATATATATATATATATATATATATATAAAGTGAACATTGAAGTCAATACTCATAGGCGACAGGCTGTTTCATGCTAGAGGCACTCGCGGCTTGATGATTTTGTCTAGTATGAAACAGACTGGCGCTTCTGAGTGTTGACTTCAATGTTCACTTTTTTCACTTATATTTACATACGCTCTATCTCTGATATTGAGTACTTTATCCCATAATTATAGCACACCTTAAAACTATATTTCTTCATATATATATATATATATATATATATATATATATATATATATATATATATATATATATATTATTATTCGTCAGGTATTTGAAGACAAATTATAAGATAGAGAAAAATCACATATGATTCTTTTTTAATTCGGTATATTTATGAAAGTATCATTTACTGAGCTCGGATAAATTGGGTGTTTGAAGTCACCCCACTTTTTGCTAAAATTGAGAATGAAACAGAAGACTAAATTTGACTTCATTGTCTCAATTGAGTTGAGCAGTATTATTTGTATTAAGGGGTCCACCCGTTTTTCATACAAGTGGACTCGCCCAGTGTGTACTTTTACTGCTGCCGGTAAATACACGGAGGAGACAGTGAGAC